CAGTCTCTCTCTGTCTTTGTCTCTGTCTCTCTGTCTCTGTCTGTCTCTCTGTCTGTCTCTCTGTCTCTCTCTGTCTCTCTCTCTCTCTCTGTGTGTGTGTGTGTGTGTGTGTGTGTGTGTGTGTGTGTCTGTGTATGTGTGTGTCTGTGTACCACTAGCAGGCCAGTCAGCAGTCAGGGTACAGTTTGAGGCCCACCCAGAGAAGTAGTGACCCAGAACTGCCTGTATTTGCTTCCCCCTTCCAAAGTGGCAACTAGGCCAGAGTTCCACAGAGGAGTTAGTGGTCTTTGCTGCAGAGATCGCAGCACACAAGGCAGCCCTAGGTCTCCATTGGCCTTGTGTAGACCCTTCCGGGAGCTCTGCGACCACATTTGGCCTTCTAACTTGGGAGAAATCAGGATTCTGGAACAGGCCCAGAGGACAGCAAAAATCCTGCCTGCAGAGTGTGAGAATGGCGGACTAGAGGCGTGTTAGAGAAAATGAGGCTGATCTGCCTAAAACAGCAAGAGGGGTGGGGTGGGGTAGGAACTTAATTCAGGCATGGGATAAGAGGCCTGAGTCCAATTATTGTCATGTTTCAAGAGCAGGTATTAAGAAGCAATCATTCTAATTTGTCACTAGATAGGTCAGGTAAGGAAGGAATTTTATCACAGGTATGAGGCTTGGCCTTCCCTGTGGTTTCTGTAAAGGAGATCCTGCCTCTTCCCCTATGAGGAAATCTGATAAAGACCAGACATGGAGACCCTGACTGAGTCTCAAAATACTTTCAAGTTCCCTTAGCCCCAATAAACTCCAGCTTGCCTGGCCTTTGGGAGCCCATGTTACTTTTTGAGGAGCATAGGAACTCATATTCAGTGCTCAAGAACAAGGGAGATTGCCTTTGGAGGAGACAGAAATCCTGGGAGCTAGAAACACACATAGGCATGGATAGTTGCTTTGGAAAACGTGTGCTTTTTATCGTGGTCTAGCAGGTTACGTGCCTACCCCTCAAAGAATTTGATCGTTCAGAACACTAAGTGCATCATCTCCCTGTGCATCGTCATTCTGTGCTCCAGGAGTTTGAAGGCAGCGGGGCTGAGCCTTGTCTTTGGGTCTTTCCTCCGGTTGTAGTCCTGAGCCACTGTCACCAGAACACTTGAGACTGGAAGAGTCACTTACCTCATTCACGCCACACTCAGATCCTGCTTCCTGGCCACAGTCTTCCTCCGTGGGGCCGTTTGAACATCCTCAGGTGGGCTCACACATTCCAGCAGTGTCGCCAAGGCCCAAAGGGGCTGCTCTGCTCACCCTGGTTTAAGGAACGAATATCACTGAACATCTGGATCGTTCTTGCAAACCCAACTCTTTTTGTGGATATCTTGTTTGCCTTTCTACTCATTTTTGGGAGCGTGGGAGTCTCAAGGCCGAGAAATTCCAAGTGGCAGGTGACGCCTAAATACAGATGGGGTGCCCTCTCCTTCTGTCGACATCCCCCCTCAGCATCCATGAGTGCCCACCCACCATCACCCCACGTAAGTATTGGGTCTGTGTGGTCATGGACTCTGGGGGTGGAAGGTCAGGGGTTGCGGCATCTGCCTGGAAGACACTCCCTGGGGGCAGTCTGTTGAGGTGAAGACCTGGGTTCTAAGAAGGAGAAAAATCTAAGACAACAAGCATAGGAAAATGGATGGTGTTTGCTACAGCCTGAGAGAGAGCAGGGATTTCAGTTTAAGAGATGGAATGAACAAGAATCTCCACTGCGGGGCCATTGTGTTTGTTTACTTTTGCAGCACGCCTTGGGAACTGTGCTGGGGGAGAGGAGCTGTGTTGTGAGCTGTCTCAGGTTCCATCAATAGGTCAAGCTGCCCACACTGGAGAGGCTGCCTGTAAAATCTCAGCTCGGGAGAAGAATTTGCCTCCGTGTTTCCTCTCCTTGTACTCAACGGGAATTGCGCTCAGTGCAAGCTTGGGTAAGAAATAAGTGCCCCCTGTTCATTGTGAATGCCCAGGCTGTTAGACAAAAATAGCACACAGGAAACAGTATTGCAAAAGGTCAATTCTTCTAGAAAGGAAGGGACAACACGCCATCTATCTGAAATTTTAATGAGTGGATTCTGGCCTCTGACCCCACACCATTACCTAACAATCCCGTATTGAATGCCATGTCGGCTTCCATTTCCTGTGAATGAGGAGGCAGAGTTCCCATCCGAAGGCAGACCATCTGCCGGAGGCCAGCTTAGCGCCCTGCCTTGCTGGCTGCGGCTGATGGACGTGAAGTTTTTATGGATGGAGTGGCAGCCAGGCCCATGCTTCACAGCCACAGTGAATCAGAAGGCTGGGAAGGCAGGACTTGGGGCTAGAGTTTTCTATTTCTCTTTCTACAATGAGTGTCTGGTTCCATTCAAACACCAAAGACAGTCTTGGGGCACATTTGGCCTTTTGGAGACGGCTCTGCCAACTTCTGCTTCAAAAGAAGATAAGTTTATTATTATTATTTCTTGCAGTAGAGAGCAACAGCAGAGTACTAAACAGCAAAAAGAAACCAATATTAAGTGAGTGTATAAAGCCCCCCAGCACACATGAACAATCCCTTTCTGTGATCAGTGGTTTGGGCTAATGGCTGAGTCCGTCCTAAAGCCATTTATGTCCTGGTGACCTCAAAGGAAATAACTTCCAAGCCCTTTGCTTGGTGTTTCTGATCTTCTACAGAACAGCAGGATTACATAAACCTGTCCTTCTGGATCTTTCTCAGCAGAGCCCAAATGTAAAAGGCCAAAGGATGGATGTCTTTACTGAGTACCTTGGGGAGCAGGTGGGTGGGAAGTCTTTCGCATCAGGTCCTCGGGGCTAATACCTCTCGAGAGGTATGGCTTAGCCTACACTAAGAGGGAAGGTTGGAACCCAGGGCCAAAAAAACATAGGCTGCACCAAAGACAGGAGGTCTGAGACTGGGTTCTTCACTGTGTGGCTGCAGGAAAGCCAGTTGGCACAACTGTACATTGAAGTGATAGGATGTAGGTGGCATCCTCTATCACAGATCATAAAGACCATACGTCATGCATAATAATGTAGTAATCAAACCTAGTTATCACGCACACACTGCCCAGTCACGATGTTTTGCTGGGTTGTGCTCCAAGACTGAAAAGCCTGTCAGGCGTGGCCGTGCACACCTTTAACCCCAGCACTTGCAAGGCAGAGGTAAGCAGATCCTGGTGAGTTCAAGGCCAGTGTGGTCTATATAGTGAGTTCCAGGACAGCCGTGAGGCTGTACAGCGAAACACCATCACAACAGAACAAAAATACAAAACAGCCTTTGAAGGTGAGAAGTATTTCTCTACAGCTTGATTTCCCAAGTCCCTAATGGAACATTATCAGTTCCGAATGAACACAAGGACGTACACACAAGGTTGATTTCAAATGGTGCCTGTTCCTGGGCCTTGTTTCCAACTTGAGCATGAAGTAGCTCACTTTGTAAGGTCCTGTGTCATATGTGAAGTGAGAGACTGTAGCGCGCTGCAGTCACACCTGATGGAGATGTATAATCAACTCCTGAGATGGCTAAGGCCTGACCTATGCTATGATCACGCAATGATTATCAGCTGCCTGCATATGCGTGAACCTATGGGGAGTGCCCACCTGGCAGTTCGGGGTTGGCAGTCCATGCCTACTTGAGGACTGGGAGAGGTTTGCCCGGAGAGAGAGGAGAGGAAGGAGAGAGAGGGGAAGAGAGAGAGAAAGTGAATAAAGTCCTGGAATAAACTGCAGTGAGAAGAGCTCCGGTGGTCGCGTCATCCTTGCGGGACGAGGGTGGCCGTGACAAGAGACCACCATGGACCGCTGTTGGTGGGAGGCAGCTGGTAAGTAAGTTGGGTTTCCAGGAGAGAGTAAGGAACCCAGCCCTCACCAACCCCATTTCTCTCGTGCTGGGCAACTGTTCCAGCACAGGGGAGCTTGTAGGATCAGAACACAATCTCTGGGGTTGGCCTGAACCTCAGCTGCTGTATAATCTTGCTGGAGCTTGGAAAACTGCCAGGTTCTGAGTTCGCTGGCCTGGATTGGGATGGCATCCTCTTGAGTCCTTATAATTCTAAGAAGTACCCGGGTTAGGAACCACAGTGGCTACCATTCTCTAGATGTCTTGCCTCTTCTGTCTGCCTGGCTCCTGCTGCTTCTCACATAGCTCTCAGGAGGAAAAAACTGTCAGGCTTAAGATGGGGTTACGGCTAGAGCTCTGAGGTGAAGCGAGCCCCTTTATCCCTTTGTTGGCACTTGCCTAGCTGTGCTCTGGGGGAGCAGCTCATCCTGAAGACATAAGGGGATGCCTGGCAATTGGCATTTTCTCTTCCCTGACCAGCCTTGCCCACCATCGATTTGTGTGTGGGGGGGGAGGAGTGGGAGCAGAATCTCACTTTATAGCCCAGGCTGACCCAGAACTCACGGTGTAGCTCCTTGTGTTAGCCTCAAACGTGAAATAATCCTCCTGTGTCAGGCCCCCAAATGTTAGGATTCGGGGAACAAATCGCTAAGCGTGGCTGGAGTCTGAATCTCTAACCAGCTTCTTAAGATCAGTGAAGTTGGAAGGTATCTGGACCTTTTCCTGGGTCTAGACGACCGAAAGGAAACTTTGGCCAATCTATCAGCGTCAAAAACAGTATTACACCAAAAGCACCGTGCCTAAGCGCCTGGTGCTGTAAATTCAATCTTATTCCTCAGGTGTGAGGTGCGGGTTTGGGGCCTTGGGACCCAGCAGCCAGAATCTGCCTGGCTGTGCACTACATCCCAGACCTCGCATCTCGCCGGTTCCCGGCTAGCAAGCAGCTAACAGCCCAGTCATCCTTTCCAGCCTCAGTCTGGAAAGCTGGACCCCGCCGCCGCGTGTGCTCTTGGCTGCCTGCGCCCAGGCCCCGTGGCCACATCATCCTGAGGCTGGGAAGTGTGCGTTCCCGCGCCGTCGCCGCCACGGAGCCGGGTCTACGCGGGCGGCCCGTACTCGGTGTCCGGGGACGTTCTGCATCCAGCCGCCCCCGGGAGTGGGCGGGACCGGGGCGGGCAGGGACCCCGGAGCGGTCTCTAGGACCCGCGGGACGCCGCTGGCGGGCGGGGTGCGGGGGAGACGCTAATTTGTTCCGTGGTAATGAGAACGGCGACTGCTGGCCGCGGAACCATTGCTCAGGCCCGCCCTCAGATCGCTGGTCCCCGGCGCCAACTCGGACAGGCTGCTCATTTATTGCAACGGTCAAGGGCGGCTCGTGCCAGAGTAGCGCGCGCGCGCACGCACACACACGGGGAGGGGAGAAAGTTTTTTTTTGAAAAATGAAAGGCTAGACTCTCAGCTCCGCGGCCGGGGCGCTGCGTGAGGGGGTCGCGGCAGACTCAGGGCAGTAGGACTTCCCCCGGCTCTGCGCCCGCGTGGGATGCTGCAGCGCTGGCTGCTGGGCCCCCGAAGCAGCTGCACGCCAGGCCGGCGACAATGGCAGAGCGCCCGCCGAGGCGCGCGCCCCCCGCCCGCGCCCTCCTGCTGGCCCTGGCCGGGGCCCTGCTGGCGCCCCGTACGGCCCGAGGTAAGTCACCCGTGCAGGCGGCTGCCCGCGCGTCCTCTTCCCGCCACCTGGACCCCGTCTGGGGTCTCCGCGTGCCACCGCCGCGGGGAGAGGAGACGCACCGGGGCGCATCTGCGGAACCCCCGGCTCGCGTTCTCAGCGCCTGGACACCCGTCCCCTGCCAGGTGCCCTCTCCGGGGGTTGGGGATGTGTGTGCGGAGAAGACACTTGACTTAGGGTCTTGGAACAGCTAGTGTCTGGATGAAATGGCACAGCCTTCCGTCTTGGAGTGAGATTTGTTCCCAAGGCTCTTTCACTGTCTTGACAGTTACACGTGTCGCCTGAGAGGGTGTGCGTAGGGTAGTTTTACTGATCCGGTGGGTTAGCGAGTTCCCCCACCCAGCGTTAGAGTCAACCCCCCACGAGGTTTTCTTTCCACCGCCGCCTTGACACAGCTGAGGGACGCACGGGGCCACGCAGATGATCCCCCCTCCTGCCCCGCAAACAAGCACACACAGGTGTGTACCTGCAGCGGTCTTTACTTTTTTTGTTTTAACTGACTTCCTCTCCCACGTCGTCCCTAACGGATCTCCCGCTTCACGCCCAAACTGTCAGTAGCGATCAAACTTTAGCAGAACTCTTCCGTCCCTCTTACTCATCCTTGGTGATAAATAATCGCTTACATCAAGACCTCGTGTAGAGCGAGAACCCACTTCGGAGTTAAACGAAAGTGCATACATTAAAGGCGTTTTTTACAGACTTGTATTTTCCTGAGTTGAAGCTTCTTAAAGTCCGGGCACCTGTGGAGCCTGTTTGCATAATGAGAACTCACAGCAGGTGCCTTTTTAAAATTCGGGAGCTTCCCTGGTCACCATCGCTGCTGGCTCCCTTCTGCCGCTAGGGGCGCTGTTCACCACTGAATAATTCGCGTTGGCCTCAGACTCAGGTTTTTGTGATTCTATGTAACAGGCATTTGGTTTTCAGCTGCTAGCCCTCCGTCGTTCACTGTTTCCAACACGAAACGTTTTATTTCCCAGTTGTCACTGTTACCCTCCACCCCAGCGTGTCTGCCATAATGTCACCAAATCTGAGCTCCCACAAATATAAATAATGTAAATTATACAGTTATAGAGACCAACATGGCAAACTGGTGATTAAATTAAACGATTGCACAATCAAGGTAGTACCAGTGAGAAAGGCAACAAGACCGAAGACTAGAGAACTCTGGGACCTGCAGATGAAAACTGAAGTCAAAGGTGTTTCTGAGAGAGTTTTGTACAAATTGATTCCTTTGAAGGTTTTACAGCAACTGTACTTTAGAAACATGTAAACTAAGTTTCAAAGTATGCCTGAGGTGGGCCTGAACTTGGCACATGCTTCACACACATAAACAGAAGTCCGAGCACAGCTGATATTTTTTAGAGGCAAATGTTTATTAAATAAAACTAATAGTGTGGAATTATTGGGGGGGTGTTATTACTTCATGGCTGCAGCTTTGGTAGACAGAGCCCTGCGTTGGGATAGAGACAGCTTCAGCAAAGTTTTTAAGGCCAACACACTTTTAGTGGCTTTAAGTATTGTGGTTTAATATTCCAAGTTCACGGCATGTTTACACTTGGAGTCTCAGGATCAAATCTCAACCCATGCCCCAAACTGTGTCACGGAAGATGTTTAAGATGTAAACACATGAAACATTTATTCATGTTGGCAGAAGACAGGGATCATTGCTTGTTGAGGGCTGAGCATATCCTGAATCTGACTGTATCCTCGTTCATTGCCATGAGCTCCAGCACAGCTCAGCCCAAACAAGTCCAAAACAGAGTCCTGGATCCCAAGTCCTCTTCTCATAGCAACCTTTCCCGCTGCACTGATATCTGCTGCCTTCTCCCGATGCCTCGTGCTGACATCGCCCCTGAGCCCCCCTTTCACAATAAGCCACCAACTACAAGGGTGAATTTCCCTCTCTGCTCCTTCTATTTCTTACATCTTCCCATCCAGCTGCCGACATCATTCTGCCCCTCTGTAGCTTACTTGCATCACAGCAGCCATGGAGTTGTAGGCTTGCTGTTCCTCTTGTCCTCACGTGGGGTGTTCTCACTGTCACCAATGTGAATACAGTCCGTTGTGGAATAACCTTTTTTGGAATACTGTGAAGATGTGTTTTTTGCCCAAGTGCCTCTGATTTGTCTAATAAAGAGCTGAATAGCCAATAACTAGGCAGGAAGAGGTTAGGCGGGACTTCCGGGCAGAGAGAAAAGGAGAGGAGGAATAGAGGCAAGGAGGGAGATGCCAGGAGACAAAGAGAAGAAACCGAAGGTGCGTGATGGGAGAGAGGCAAGGGCACGTGATAGAATATAGATTGAAATAAATGGGCTACTTTAAGTTATAAGAGCTAGTTAGGAACAAGCCTAAGCTACAGGCTGAGCTTTCATAACCAATAAGAAGTTTGAGTCAGTATTGACGGGACTGAGAAAGACTCATTACAGCAGTCCATCCTGAATCAGATCATGTGAGTTTCCTTTCCTGGGTGATATTGCCTTGAATCCTCATGTTGCTTTTGTGTTCTTCTATGTGTATGAGAGTTTGTGGGGGGTGCATGTAGGGGACAGAAGACAGTCTCCAGTGTCAATCCTCAAGTACCACTCACAGTGTCTCTCACTGGCTGGAATGCATCAAGTAGTGGGACTGGTTGACCAGTAAGCCCTAGGGATCTACCCAAAGCTGCTCTTAGCCATGGGATTACAAGTATACACCATCAAGCTGAACTTTTTGTGTGGATTTTGGGAATTGAACTCACGTCCTCATGGTTGCACAGCAAGCAATTTCCCGATTGAGCTGTCTCCCCAGTCCCACGAACTGGTTATCCTTTAGAGACATGATATCCTTACCCAAGAGCCTGGGAAGTTCTCTCATATCCCTTCCATATTGCCTCATTTCTTTTCTGAGCACATAGCTTTTTCTTCCTTCCTTTAAAAAAATATTATATACATGTTCTAGAAATTTCTGAGAAAGATTATTTGGATGGTACACATTTTTAAAAATATTTTATATGTATGGATATTTTGCTTGCATGTATGTTTGCACTATGTGTATGCTTTGTGTCGTGTTCTGTAGAGGCAAGAAGAGGGCACCAGATACCTTGGAACTGGATTCAATAGCCATTTGTGAGCTGTGGTATAGGTGCTGGGAATAGAACCTGAGTCCACTGGAAGAGCAGCCAGTGCTCTTAACTGCTGAGCCATCTCTTTAGGCCAAGATAGTTCCTTGATAACTTGTGAATGTATGAAGGCTGCTTTTAGTTGCAAATAACAGAAACTATTGTTGCAGCAGTTTTTTTTTCCTTGCATGAAAAGCCACTATGAGATGAACAGTGTAAGAGTGGTTTCACGGGTTTTACAGGCCAGTGCTATAATCAGGGGTACTGCTCATTCTTTGTATCTGCCATTCTTAGATGCTGGCTTCTGCATTTACATTCACTTCCTTTTGGTCTCGTGCTGGCTGCTGCATCTCTTATTCTTATATCTGCATTCTAAGCAGCAGTTGGGCAAAAAGAGGCAAAAGGTACAGACCTACAACTACCCTCCTCTTTCAGGAAAATAATATTTTTATAAGCCTTTTAGAAGATTCACAGCTCTCATTGGCGGTTTATGATCCAGGATGTTGTCGTGTGCACAGGACTCTGGAAGAGACAATATGCGCAGCTGTGCACACAGGCATGTCTAAAAATCCAGAGTTCTACTAGAAAGCTTGTGTCTACTGTACCCTTCACAAACACACACACACGAGTATATGTTTGCATGTATAAAATTATTGCCACACTTGACATACAGATATTTTCTTCCTTCCACAGATATTCAGCTTCTAGACCTTCCTTGTGGAAAATTTTATTTTTTAAAAAAGCAATGAGGCTAAATAATCTAAAGAAGCCGAACACATCTCTTCCCCATAAAAGATGATCTTTCTCTCTCCCCCTCTCTTTTTCTCTCTCTGTCTGTCTCTCACACATACATGCACACATACATATTCATTAGTGTGTATAAATATGATACAGTATATGTATATGTGTATATGCATACCTCTATATATATATGCAAGGGTAATGTCAACATTCCAGTCTCTCTTCTTTGTGTTTTCCATTCCATCCTCGATTACTAGCTTGATAGAGGTCATATGTCCTCGGTATTCAATAAGAAATTTCTTTTTTGCCTCTATATCCGCTACCACTTGAGAACATGAGAAACTTCTAAACATACTCATTGTTCATCTTTTAAATATATTTCTTTTTGCTATCCTCTGTTCTACCTGTGATTTTCACATTTTGTGTGGCGTGCTTTAGCGGTGTTCTTTCTGACAGTCATGCTGGGAGCTCAGCGTGACTGTCAGATTGGGATGCCAGGTTGTGAAGTTCTCCTTTGCTTTCTCGCATTATTTCTTCAGTGTTTCGTCTTCTTCCTTATCTTCCATTCTATACTTGATTCTATGGGGGGGGTGGGTGGCTCTGTAATTACCCCCATTCTGTTGAAAGATGTCTACTACCGTCTCATATCCAAGAGTTCTTTCTGCTACTTAAATTGCCTTCGTTTTATGATACTGGCCATGTCTTCTTGTCATGCGTACACGGTTTCTGTTAGCTCTCCAAATATGTTATTGGGTGGTAGGCACTCTTTGTTCACCTCAGGGTCACTGTGAATTTTGAGATGCTTTCTTTTCCGCCTTGGAAGAATCTCTTTCTTCAAACATCTGACTTTCAGCTCACTGTTGCCGTTTAATAATGGGATTCTGAGCTGGTTGGATGTTCTATGTGCTTCTGCAGATGGGTTTATTGATGAGGGAAGGAGGCTACATTTTATTGGGAGACCTCCACACAGTGTTTGTGCTGGCATAAGTGTGTTTTCCTTCGGGCCGATCAGTTTTTTGTTTTAAACAAACAAATAAATCCCCCTATCTAGTGCTGGAGGTTTTAGCCTGGCTCTACAAGGCCTTGTAGTACGACAGAACAGGGTTATGGGGATAGATATCAT